GTAAATGCAGAGAACAGAAAAACAGAAGTCATTGTAAACAGATAGAGCCACTAGTGCCTCAGCTGTGAATGTGACAGAACTGGGCAAAGTCCTTTCATTTCCTACCACTGATTCCATTACATTCTCCTGTGTCTGAGCACAAACACTGTTAGCTGGACAAATATTGCTGCCTCTGTAAACCAACGGGACCCTTTCCTTCATAACAGGCCTGCAAATAAGAAAAGGGTCACAGCACCTCTCGGGAAATCAAAGTAAATAATCCACACACTGCTTCAGATGCTCTTGGGCTGCTTATTTTACAATAATGCAGGGGTCACATCACCTTTTAAACCGATCACGTAGGGTCCAGTAGTGTAATGCTGAGCTCTGACGGACCCGAGAAATTAAATGAGTTACAGAGACAATAAGTTTACCTTAGCTGGGTGATTTTAAAGTGAGCCATTCGACAGCTGCACAGCAGCAGGTGGGAAGCATTTGATCCATTATGAAGCTGTGAGAAGCAGGACTGGGGTTTTAATAAAGACAGGGCGATCGCAGCAAAAATATATTTTCTCTGCTGACCTTGAAAAAGCCAATCAAATTCATTGAGTGCTCCAAACTACAGGGCCTAACAATATTACTGCACTGAGATGATAACAGAACTTTGTAATAAATATGGCCGTCCAACCATGTGAAGTAGGAATGAAATTCTGGGAGCTTATTTCCAGTTGACAAAATCAGAGAGTGAAGCAGAAATGAATGAGTAAATATCAGCATTTTAAAAAGGTTTGTATTTTCAACATTCCTCTAATCTTTCCTTATTTATTCATGCTATTTTAATCTACAGATTGTTATCACCCAGAGAGGGTGCAGCGCACTTATCTTCACTGTTCTGTAGGTGTGTCCAGTGTGCACGTGGCTCATTAGGGCCTGAGCCCTTTTCAACTAGGGTGAAAAGGTCCAAGTGCTGAGACATGGCGAAGAAAACCCAAGTGATTCTAAGCCTGAGATGTGTGTTAGTGTGTACGCTTTTCAGGAAGGTCAGAGAAGAGCCCTTCAGGGACACTTGTACACATAGCAGAGGGCACTCAACATGTTGAGGACAATCAAGATGTTACCCTCTGTTTTCTTAAGGGGGGACAGAGAGTGCTTGGTGAGAGCATAAAGTGGTCAGTCACTTCTCAGAAGACACATCTGAGAGGCTCCTGAGAAAAACTAACCCCAATCACAAATGCAAAGGATGAGTGTGCAAAGTTCGCTTAGACTGAGTGTAATCTGGAACCAGCCCGACTTGTGCTCTGTTTTTTCTCTTTGTTACTATGAATCAAATAGACCAGTGGAGATCTTTCCCATTTGCACAAACACACACACAGTGTTTTCATTCCTTGTGGGGACTTTACATTTACATACATTCATTTCCTGTAGACCTAACCTTACAATTCAGTGACTTCCTTGTGGGGACCGCATGGTCGAGTCCCCACAATGTGTGTGTTAACAGGTTTTGTTCCCCATAATGTAAGTAATACAAAGGCACACTCACACTCTCTCTCTCATACACTCACACACACCTTATGTCCTTCTCGGTGGGTCATTTCCATTGCCCAGATGTGAATACACTCGCACACACCTTATGTCCTTCTCAGTGGGTCATTTCCATTGCCCAGATGTGACAGGAGCTTTACCATGAAGCCAGTATGGTCTCCTGGTTGGAGCCCTGTGCTCTCTAACTCACTGGCTGTGGGCTGCACATTAATCAGCCAATTATCAGCCCCAGCCACACCAATGTGGCCCCCTAATCCAATCATCTTGGGGGAGTGGTTCATGAGGTGCTCTGATTGGATAACCTGGGGCTGGGTTACCATGCCCATGACCTGCTGCTTTGAATTGGTAATGATGTTAATATTCTCCATATGGCAATGTTTGCGCATGAATTTGTGTGTATCCGGAGGGTGACCTGCACCCCGGTGTTAATGGGCAGTGGAGAGGGAGGTAAAAGCCAAAGCAGACTATCACCCTCCCTGGGGCAAAGCTCTCGACACTGCCACTTCCAGTGCTCTTCCCAAATCCTCTTTTCCAGACTTCAGCTTCTCTTGCTGGCTGTCATGCAGCAGCCCTCAGCACTAGGTCCTAGGCTGAGGTCCACTTTCTTTCCTTTGGCATACATACACTCCTTCTCCTTCACATGCAAAGAAACTCTTGATTTGAGAGGTGGGAATAGCCAGACAGATCTCTGTATAATGAATTCACAGTTTGGGCTGTAGAATTGTGAAAAAATGTTTTTCAATACGATTAAGAAAGTAACAGGGAAGACGGCTAAAAATATAATGTATTCCTTAAAATTACAAAAAAACACGAACTTATGGGAGAAAAAAAGATGAAACTCCAAATTTAAAACCAATTTAACATACTATACATTTGTGTTTTCATAAGGAAAGTTGTAATGTGCACTGACATAATGACTCTCAGCAACATAATACTGAAAATGAGATATTTAAGTGTCTGTCTGAATGCTTTTATTCTGCCTCAATTCCATCCCTGTGCTTCTGACTCTTACCTCTCCTCTCTCTCCATATGTTCCCATCTGTGAGGTGCTTTGCTACATCTTCTGTACTAACCATGCACTCACACATACACACACAATCACCTCCTTCACTCCCTCCCCTCCAGCTGCAGCCCCAGCCGGCTCCACACAAAGGCAGGCCAAATGTATGCTAATGAGAGCCAGGCCAATGGTGGAGCCGCACTCATTCTGAGAGGAAATGGCTTTCAATAATGGTGGCCCCCGGGGGGATTTTGCACAAAGTTCAGCTCCACTTTGAAAAATGTATTCAATTCACTGCTGTGGCTGCTCTTCTCTTTTCCTCCTGTTTTTCACCCTCCAAAAAAAAAAAAAAAAAAAAAAAAAAAAAACCCCAAAATATTTTTTGTTCACCACCCCCTTTTGCCTTTCAATTCACTGCTGTGGCTGCTCTTCTCTTTTCCTCCTGTTTTTCACCCTCCAAAAAAAAAAAAAATCCCAGAATATATTTGTGTCTCCACCTCCTCTTGCCTCTGCATTTATGCCAGTGTAAGTCTGAAGAGGTGTGGAGACTGAGGAGCTGTGACTTATCTTTTGCGAAACATCAGAAATAAGAAAACAAAGGTAAACTTGAACAGTGTCCAAACTATCTGCCACTTCTCATCTACCTTTTGCTGCTCTTGTGAATGGTGAGCAAAAGCTCATCTGTGAGGTAAATGCCCCCCAGGAGCATATTAACCATGCCATGTGCAATTCAAACAGATGGTCTTTGGCCTCAAAATACTTCAAAGAGGAGACCAACAACAGTTAAATGACAACGGGAGCATATCATTACCTGAACCTGATTTATCTTCAAGCCTAAACGACAGATAGCTGCTACTTAAAGTAGTGCTATTTACCATTTATTACTTAAATCTAAAACATTTGAGCTGCCATTCAGGGTCAGGTATTACAGCCAAAAGCTGCCAACATCATGTGTAGGTTGCAGATGAATTGCCTTTTTAAAATCCTATTTGTTTTGTATCTATCCTCTGTCACAAATAGTAGATGCCAGTTTATTAATATACTAGAATTTACACTTGCACATACTACAATATGCACTAGCAATGCAGTAGGTCTGAACTATAACTATCATTATCAGTTCATTGAATATTTAGTATTATTATGTAATCCTTTTGTCAATAAAATGCCAGAAAACAGAACAAAAATGCCAAACACAATTTCACAGAGCTCAAAATTGAATAACCAACAGTCTAAAACCCAAAGTTGTTTAACTTTGCAATGATAATAGCAAAGAAATACAGAAAAACCTTTTACCAGCTGGGTACAAAGAATATGTGGCAATTTGATGAATTATTTGACTAAACAATTAATCATTTACTCTATTATTTGTCCAAAAAGTGGTCAAACACACCCAGGATGGCATCTTCTAATGTCTTGTTTTGCCTGATCAACAATGTAAAACCCAAAGAGATTTAATTTAGAATGATTAAGCAAAAAAATCCTCACATTTGACAGGCTGGAAAACACAGTGTTTGGCATTTCTGTTTGAGAATGATGAATGGATTATTTAAATCACTGTTGATGAATCAGTTCAGCAGTAAAATGCAGAATGCAGCATTCATTTCTGAATGACTGGGAAGGATTCCAATTTTCCAGATTTGTTCCAAATTCATTACAAAGAAAGTTATAAGTAAATGGCATGACTTCTTTTTTCTGTCACTGTACTGTACGTAAGTAAGGGTTGGACTACGTGCAAATCTCCCTCAGTCTGTCTGTCTCCATTTGGGTTTGACTCTGCAGTTATAGCTGGCTAATTTTTCTGTCCCTCCTTTTCTCTTGTTCTCTCTCTCCCAGCTTTTCAGTCCATCTTGTCCCCCTCTGAGCGAGTGCTGATGTCTGCTCTGCCCAGTCATATCAGGAGGAGCAATAACCCGTGAAATGACTTCTTTTTTCCCTCACTCTTCTCCTCTTCATCCCAGTGTCCCATCTTCTCACTTTCCTCACACCACGCTCTACTTAACGCCTAGGAATATCACCAAAATGGTGTGCATGCCATACACAAGCCAGCAAATATTTTGGTGTGGTTAAACTACTGGGAAACACTTAAATGGAGGATAAAAGAGACATGAATGCAGATACTCATGCACCTAATAAAACAACAGAGCATTTACAGTAAACAAAAACATGCAATTCCGGTAAACCCACACTAGAGGTTATACATCCTTCATAAGAGCAAACCATCCTCTGTGCATGTGTGATTTTGTGTGTGAGATCCTCCTGTCTGTGTTCTACTCTCTAGAGAGCTGATCACTCCTATTCCCAGGATGAGTAGACACTCCCAAGGCCAACACTCCAGATTTAATTACAAGCGCCAAAGAGGATTAGTCTGAGCCGTGTGTGTGCTTTTCAGAGTCTTGGAGACACAAAGGGGGTGAGTGGCAGGAAGTTAGCCCTTTATTTCCTGCACTGAGGAATAAGCACACACACGTAGTGGACTCACCTGGGCTGTGTGGGGTACTGTCGGTCTATCTCTTCGTAGTGGCGCGCAGGTCGAGATTCCGCTCCTCTGGGTGCTGTCTGTGAGGAGACACAACACAAGTAATGTTCAGAAAGTATGCTGACTAAAAAAGGCTCTAAGCATCAGTCATTCACCAGCTAAAATATCAGTGAGCAAGGCACTGAACTTGTACCTCCCTCACGAGGAGTCAGCCAGATGAAAATTTGATGAAAAAAACCAAAATACATTGAACAAGCTATATGAAGATTTTAGGCCTGTCCAAGCAGCTAAACCTTGCACCAAAGACCAAATGTCCTCAGGTTTATGTTTAATCCTCGGTATTCTATTTAAGTCTTATGGAAAGTTAATTTATTGGATGTACATAAAGTATTTAAAGCATGTATATGCAACCTTGTGGTTTTAGGGGAAACACAAAACAAGAGAGAGCGAAGTCAAGGGATGGCCCACATGTGGTAACATAAACACATGCAACCACATGTAAGCACTGTGCCCCTCTGATGAACGTGTGCGTATGGTTCATGCAAACACATCAGTCATATGAAAAAAATTACAGTTAGAGCAGGTCTTGGGCAAAAGGTTCTTCTGTCTCTCACCCACACACACACACCAGGAAGCGACTGATTAAAGCTGTGGTGGATAAATCTGGAAATACTGTTTATATATGATAATGACTTTCCTAAAGTGTTTTCAGGTCATTTTACGTCCACACAGAAATGGCAAAGTACGGTAATGGAAAAACAGCTAAATCTCTTATTCATCCTCCTTTCTGATGGCAAACGCACCTAAGGATTACAGCTGGAGAATCATAGCCAGGACACCTCCTACTATATTAATTACAGATGGGCAACAAATTAAAGGAAAAACCTGAATAAATAAGAGAAGAACACAGTTACTGCAATGCAGGACAATGTGACCTCACCCAGACTATGTGACAGTGTTCTTAACAGTACTGTTCTCTGTGTGGACATATGCCATGTTTTAGGAAATACAGTATGAATAATGACAGACCGGCTTCCAGATTGATCCACTTTTCAAGCAGCATATTGTTTTAATGTGGAAACACAGGCTTAGTGGGGTTTGAAAGCAAGATTGTAGAGAAAAGGATACAGTTTCACATTTTGTTATGTAAGTGTGGACATTAGGTTAGATCAATACACGGGGGTTAAACAAGCCATTCCTGAAGGCAGAGGAAGGAAGAGGTGAGGGCAGAAGAGAGGACAGAGCATACAGTTTCAATTATGTGCCATCTGGGTTCAGGCTCTGAGCTTGTACTTAGAAACACAGGCTGTTTACTCAACAGACATTTCATCTGTTAAACACTGTAGCGTAACATGCACACACCGGCACGTCGGTCAAATATACAATAACTCATGTGTGTACATAAACAAGCACTCACAGCTTTGACAGACACATACATGGACATCTAAAGAGGCAAACAGCTTTTGATCCAGGCTATCAAAGTGATCTATCCCTGCAAACACCCACATACACCGTGTTTAATACCATAAACACTATAAATTATCTAAATGACTTCATGCAGGACCAGTATATTAGTCTGTTTTGCATACGTACGAGTTCAAACTCATTCTGCAAGACAGTACAGCAGAGGCGCATTAGAAAATATCATTAGCATGTAACGCAGGGAGCTCTAATGTCTCTGAATAAGAGTGAGGAAGTAATAGGACATCCAAACTATGGCCGGGGCACGGCTGCTGCTCTGTTCACTAATGTAGCCTAGTGCGTGTGTGTGCACTGTATATGTGTATGTTAATTTTATGGTAAGCAGGAAGGGCATGAGTGTCTTTGTGCGCCGGTTTAATATGATGTCTAGAAGTGAGTGCGCCATCTTTGTGTGTGTTAGGTAGGGGACATTATGCAAAGAGATGCATAATGTGAGGCCAAAGGGGCATTAGACTCTGCAAGAAGCCAGGACTCAGGTGGAAGACCTTCTATGTGTGCGTGCTGAACCAAGGAGAGGAAGAGACTGAAGGTGATGATAGGAGAAAATGTGTGTTTAGATAAAATGAGTGAAATTCTTTGCCAACTGATTGTATTAACATAATGGCCTGCAGCTGGTCTGGATGATCCCTTTATTAACTCACACACATACATTAAGAATGTCTGTCATATGGATGTTTTTCAGGCCTTTTCCCCAAAATTAGACAGCCATATTTACTGCCAGACTATATGCATGAAATACTGCTGTGGCATACACATACGCACACAAGTAAACAAAGACATATGTCTCAGTCTCACCATGGCAACTGGTAAAACAGCAACATGAAATTCATCCAGGCTGGTGTGAAAACACAGCTTTTGAGGAGGCAGTCAGTGAGCAAAGAGCCTCTTCTTCAGAACTCCAGAGATGGAGAGCAATGACACACTTTGCTATTCCTTCAATCCACGCAAGTTCGTGTCCTCTTCCTGAACCTAGTGACATCATACACAGTACTGTGTGTGTGCCATTGTGTATATGTGTGGTTATCTGGGGAAAGTTAATGTCTTATGCAGAGAACAGCTCCATGAACTCCGTGGCAGATGACAGTATATGCACACATACACACACTATTCTTATTTCTCATGGCTGTCTGGTGTTAAGGCTGAGAAACATTATTGATCCTGCATTCACTGTAGTTGTGTGCATGTGTATGCATTTGTTTCTAATTTAAACCCATACCTTCCAATCAACAAATCCTCAGATTGGTAAAATACTTTATGGGAATGAGCTTAAACATATCACAACAATCTTCCGTATAAAGTGCATAACTGTGTAGAGTCAATACCACAACTCAGCAGCTGACAAACACTGACAGAAAGGCTGGCGTGTGAGTGTGAATGAGCAGAAAGTCACTTTGCCATTTCTCCAAATTAGAAAGCGATGTCTTGACAGCGCCAGATGATAAGCACTGGAACACATGCACACCAATCAACTCTAGCAGCACAGCTGTCGCATTCATCAGAAAGTATTGCTGGAGCTCAGGAAATGAATTTCTTGGAGCGCTTTTGGCTTTGCTGTGAATCTGCGATGCTCATATATACAATAAGCCTCAAATGAGAGTCCAAGTGCTTTGACACAATGCCTGAGCAGCACTTTCATCTTGTGACTGAGATGCTCAGATTTGCCTTTTTCCAAACCGCTTCCCTCCGCCGTCTCTTTTCAAACTGCGTAATTAGCCTCCTGTATTGCCTTCTATTCCTCCTTGCATCCATCCATCCTTTTCTTTATCCCTCCATCCATCTTGGATGCTAATTAACCATGTGTCTCAGTGTGGAGCCTCTGCCTAGCACCCCATGCTCACCTCCTGTTGGAAACCTGACCCTCACGTCCTAGCACAATGAGACAGAACCCACCTGATATCCATCGTCCCCTCCTCCCTAAAAATCTCTGTGATGGCATGCTGCAGACTCCCCCATGGGAGGTGAGGGAACAGATATATAGAGGAAGAGAACTGAGCTGGTACAGAGGGGAAAACTGACAGAGATGTTGTTAAAGATGTGGTGTGTGTGTTGGTG